GTCACGGCGGGTCGGAACGCCGACGAGCCCTACAGCAACATGATTGTTGGTTTTGGGCGGGCTGCCAAGAATGAAAACGAGGACCTGCGTGTGCTGTTTCTGGATTTCCCAGACGTGAGCCGCGGCGATGCGCGGACAATCGCAGAGAACGTCCTCGTCCACCATGACGGTAGCCTCTAAGAAGAGGGGGATGACTTGCGCTTGACGACGGCGAGGACGTGTTCCGGGCTCAAGCCCGCAGCTGTTCTGGGAGGGGCGTCTCTCTGCTGTGCTCCGACCGCTCTGCACCCGAGACATGCTGCACAGCGCGGAGCCCGAGGTCGTTGTCGACGCGGCGGGCCGTCAGCTCGTCCCAAGGCTTCGCCAGATGCCTGAGCCTAATGCTCGCTATAATTCGGTCGAGCGGCCGACCATCCAAGAGGTAGACGCGAACCAGACAGCTCTTGAACTCCACAGGGAGGAGAGCGGCAGCTACGTCCTCGTGCCGCCGAGACTTGAGCTCGAGACACATATCAAGGGAGGTAGTGGCCTGATCGAGCTGAGGACCACGCACACCACCCTGGCTGCCACCAAGACCGTCATAGGACATCAGTTCGCTGCTCTGGGCGTCGACTCGGACCAGCATGTGTACCTGACTTTCACATCGACCCTCAGGTCGGCGATGCAGGTGCCGCGCGCGCTGGCCGTCCGATGCGACGACGTGAGCCTGCCTCCGGCGGCCCTGTTGGCCTTGGTCATGGCCGTGTCCGCCGCCCAGTGTATAGTCGGGCCGTTGCCAAGGGGCCAACGCTTCGCTGTCCACAGCCCGTCCGAGTATGCTGCCGCCGTGCTCAGCGCGTATGCCTCGATCAAGGGTGCGAAGGTGACCTTCACCACAGACCTCGGGTCACCGTCGCAAGCGGCACCCGCATCAGCGACCTCCTGGATCCCCCTCGCCCCCTTCCTCGCCCCGTCCGACGTGCTCGACGTCCTCCCGCGCGCGCTGTCCTGCTTCGTCGACCTCAGCGTCGAGCATTCTCCCAATGCCTCGACCATACTGTCAGCACTTCCTCTGGCCACTCGCGTCGAGACCACGGACAGGTTGTTCATGAGCCCTTGTGCAGGCAGCTCCTCGGTCAGCGGCGCACTGTCGGCGGAGGATTTGGCCGCCCTGGTGCAGGACCTACGCCAGGTTGCTGCAATGATCAAAAGTCAGCCAGCCGAGACTGTGACCTTGGAGGACGTAGTGCGTGGCACGTCACCCAAAGACCCATTCACCGTCGTGGACTGGAGGGCTTTTTTGCCTGCCTCTCTTCCAATGCGCGTCACCCGGTTGGATCCGAGGTCGCTTCTCAAGCAGGACAAGACCTACTGGCTGTGCGGCATGTCCGGCGGGCTGGGACTCAGTTTGTGCGACTGGCTCAT